TCCCCACCAGGCACGGGCCAAAGAAGCTTGGAACCACATACGCACTCTTTTCTCAGGCGCAGCTCATCCTCTTCCCAGCGACCGCCTGCAGTCACTGGGCACGCTGGTTTCACCACAACCTGAGCAGCAATCATTTGCTCCATCATTGACTGTCAGCCTTTTGGTTAATGTTGCCGTTTTCTGCCAGCTACCACCAAGTGGCTCAGCAGAGGTTTTACAGGCGGTGAGGAAAACTGTTTCTCTTCTGTCATTTTCAGATTATTGTTCCATCCAGTTCTTATTAAATGCAAAGCTCAGTATGCATAATGCTTGAAATGCTGGACCTTAGATACAAGCTACTGACAAAGAAATGCTTCAAAGGGTCCATTTTATAGAGAAAGATGTTAATCATTTCGGCCCTCCTTTCATGCAGTATGCAAGGTTTGATCTGAATGTTCTGCAAATTAAATCCATTTAAATCAGGAAACATACATAATTAAAACCTGGCTAGTTTTCCCCTCAAGGTTGTGTCCTTGGGACACCTATAGACTACTTCCACACCCTCTGCTAGTTTTCAGAAGGTTGACCAGTCAAACTCGTGCAAGCTCCTGTGTCAAACTGGCCCAACGTCCATGTCCAAGGTCATTGCAGTAATGATAATTAGGTCTCAGGGATAGGTGGAAGGGTCCAGGAATTACTGGCTACACCAGCACAGTCTTAGCCCACCACCCATTCAAGCTGAAGGGTGAACATTTTGACACACTGGATCATCTCAGATACATAAGTACGAGTGCAAATGATTGGTCTGAAAGAAGGTGGTGGTCCATAGAAACAATTTTATGTTAACAGCTGTTTTTTAAATGTGACTTTCTTGAACTCATTCACTCACACAGACACACACACAAAGTAGGTACACCAGCACTTTGCATAACCTACTGGGTTGGAGGGTTCAGTGTCCTGCACCGGTCTTTTTTTCTACAATTTCATTGTACATGTACAGTGACAGTAAAGTGCTTTTCTATTCTAATCTATTCTTGGACATTTGGACAGGTTGAAACATGGATCAGATGCAGCCATCTGAGAATATTTCTTGATTCTCTTTTTGACAAAGTCAATCCTGTGGCAGGTCTTTAAAGCCTCTAAAACATATATGAAGTTTGTCATCTTTATTATGCTTTAAAAGTGTAAAGTTTGGAGAAATGTGACATGTAATTCCCAATAGCAATACCAACACTTTGGGAATGTGAATCATTCCTAGTATTTAATGCCTTTCAATCCCGATCACAGATCTGAGTGTGTTTTGTATAAAAATGGGCAAATACTTATTTCAAAAGCTTGCCTTACACTATTAACTATTAGAAAACAGTTATATGTTTAGAAAATATTTATTTTTAAAATTATTTTATTTTTTTGAGCACAAATACCCTAAAACACCCCCGTTCATTCAAGTTCAAGTTCATTTGCTAATATGTCATTAAAAAACACAAACTTGTTCATTACTGTTGTACAGCCTTAATAGTAATATTCTACATTAGATGTTTTTCCCCCTATTAATACATTTTTATTTTTTTATTTTTTATTTTTTACGTTTAAAGTCTGAAATAAAATAAATTGTCCCACATTTGTCCGTCCGTCCTGTTACTCTTACCAGTCTTTTTGGATAGCTCCCCTCTATTGGTCCGCTAGTTACATGACTTACAGTAAGTTGTATTAGTGTTTTGGAGGGAAATCCTCTATAAAAGCCAGAGTAAACATCAATCTTTCATCAACCGTTTCCCCCCCATGTTTCAGAATGGTTCACAGATGCGTTAAAGCATAACCTGTTCACCCTGTTACCCTTATTTACAGTGTAAACAGATATTCTTTTGTAATTCCGATCACATGGTTCATAAACATGTTAAAAATAATGTTTATGGTCTTCATTTGCTAGCCTGTTGTGCATCACATGAGGAATAATGGTTGATTTAAGAATAAAACGTCCACCCTGTTACTGCTTTCCACAATAAGAGGGTGGATACACAGTAATGGGCAGGTAGATCATTGGTGTGATATGCACATTTCTGTGTGTATTTGAAATGTATTCAAAACCATGAGGTGAAAAGCTG